CTGGCAAGCCATGAAAATGACGTTGATGGCTTTTTTCTGGGCAGACAGAAGTTTGAATAAGCCATCCTGGCCCGAGCTACGCATTTCCGCTATTGGCACGATGATACCGTCCAAGACCGATCGAAAGACACTGAGTCCTCGCTGGATCAAGCCTTCCGAGTATAGTTGCTTTTCTGGCCGTCCACCCGTCATGATCGTGAGGGCCAGGCGCGCCGCTTTGAGCGCCGCTTCGATATCTGGCAGTAGTTGCAGCCACATGTTGACTTCAACTTCTCCCCACGATTGGTCAACCTTGATCTCAAGGGCGTCGGCACGCTTCAACGAAGGATCACAAAGGGCTTGAATATTATGCAGATCCTCGAATGGAACCATGTTGAAGCACTGCAGCTCCAGAGTCCTCGAGACCATTTTCATGACCTTGTTGTAGGCTGCGATGGTCATGGTGGCGTCTTCGTCCGGAGTCAACGTGATCCAGGTGTTTGTATTTCTCGTACTGATTGCCGCAATCTCAGCGTCACGAATCTCTTGGAGAGTCCTTTGTAGCTCGCGCAGATGTGTATTTGCGCGTTCCCTGTTGTTGAGGCCACCGTCGAGAAGATACTCGGTATTTTCTATCTCAGCACGCTTGCGTTTCTTAGTAGACAGGTCGGCTGGGGCAGCAGGAGAGTCATCCACGACCATATAATCAGCTTTGTTGATTGCTGAGTGTGGTAGTTCGATCGTAATACCGCTCATTATCTGGGCCTGAGTACTGGGCGATTCTGCGACTCCAACCACGGGCTTTTTCTCCCTAGGAATTTGAGGTACGGCTTCTGATGAGCTTCTAGAAGTCGGCAGGCTAGGCTTCTGATCAAGAGTATCAATCTCGGGCTTGATGTACTTGTGCTCTACTTCGGCTGGTTTGACTGGGACTGGTGCAGATTGGACTGGTACAGCTTGGACTGGTGCAGCTTGGACTGGTGCAGCTTGAACTGGTGCAGCTCGGGGAGCCAGCACGAGGTCTGAAGGAGATATTGTCTGCGAGACTGTAGGAGTTGGAGTCGGGACCACTTGATCACGATTTCCGGGCTTGGGCGAGTTGTACATCGATGCCGCCGCTTCATGGTCTTTGCGGGATGGAAGATGCACCTCGATCGAGGCCCGGTTCTTGGCCACGTTGTGCGCGTTGACTGATGACGGGTTATGCTTCACAACCTTGGCCGGCTCATGCTTGCGGGCCTTGGGCGACTTCTTGACAGGCTTTGGCGACATACTGGCGCCGTTCGAACTCGGCTTTTGTGCCTTGAGTGAACCTGATGAAGGATCTCGGAACTCGATGTGGGTGCTTTCGTAGATCATGCGAGCGAGGGGAGAGAGGCCCTGGGCGAGACTCGGTTGAGAAGTGTTGCTTGTTGTGTTCAGGACGGGCGCCGTTTTGAACTGACTGGAGGTGGGAATTGGTCAATAAATCATGATCGAACAATCTTCGGACACAACATCGCAACTTGATTGTTCCTCGAATGCAACGCAAACGCAGGATGGGGAAAATCCCGAACACTTACAACAATGTAATCTTCTCGGGCTTCAAAAGATTTTGCACATATTCCAGACTTCCCTCAAGTCGTTTTGAGCTGCCGGGATTCTCTGCCTCCTTATTCAGGGCATCGTAGTCGTCGCGCTCAGCGAGGTCAACGATGGAGGGCGCAATGAGACCCGAGCCAATGGTGGGATTATTGATGATATCTGTTGAATCGCAGAGAATGGTCAGAAAACAAGTCGGCGTAACGCAGGAGATGGGACCATCATGGAGAACAATGGATCGGATTGAAGAATCCAAAGAGGCTTGGAAAATCCAAATAGAATTTCGGGGCTTGCGAGGTCCGGAAGGAAGGCACGCTGGAGGCAGTCGCACTTACCAGATTCGAAGGGAAACACGGTGGTGAAGGGCGTATAAGGCAGCGCTTCGTCCAAGGTGTACGGCCTCGGGCTATTCTGTGCCTGACCCAGACCATGACTCTGTATTTGTTGCGGTTGTTGCAACGCACTCGGATTGATGTGTTGCAGCGCACTCGGATCGATGAACTGCTGCTGCTGCTCATACTGCGGCGCAAAGCCATTCTGGCCGAGAGTCCTTGGGTCTGCCATGCTTGCGCGTTCTGTGTATTTCTCTCCAGCTCACATATCCTCCTGTTATTCCAAGCGTCTTATTCCACTGCAGTCGTCAATCGCATTGCCGTGATGGATCCCTCGTCTCCCCCCTGCTAATGACACGATGCTTTTGAGGTTGTTTGCCATGCGCGTCGACGGGATTTCGGCGGGTTTCGCGAAGGGCGCGTCTAGGAGGTTTGGAATTCCACGGAGCACTGTAGGTAGAGCTGCATAGTCTAGGCTGAGTCTACTGAAAGAAACGAAAAGGATCTCTTGATTCGCTGCCAACGAGGGTCGATGTTGCTGGTTTGCGATTCACAACATTCACGCTGCGGGAAGTTACAGTACGATAGCCTTACGCTAGCGAATGACATTGGACGGAGCTCAGATTGATTGATTGGCATCGCAACGCAACTCGACTGCCCAATGACCCCTGGCATGGCCTGAGACTGCCCCGGACTTAAGCTATGGTCAGTGCACTCACGGCGCTACCTCGACTTTGTACTTTGTACCTACCTCTCTGCCTGCCAATTGATACCGATAAGACAACCATAGATTCGGTACCGGCTAGGTTGACGAGGTGGGTTCAAGCTCGAAATTTTGGAGTCGCAATTGCTGGTACAAAACTTTTTGGATCTTCCGCCAGGTTACCTGCCATTGACGAGAGAACCTTCCGCAGAAACAGTACTTTTCGCGCCGCCTTCCGATATACTACCTCTTTTCCAATACGCAAATTTCAGATCTGAACTTTGCCCATACACAGACAATATGACCACTATTGGATCGCTGGTTTTTTGTACCGATTGCGGTAACCTCTTGCCTGCATCCAAGGGCAATGCAAAGAACATCTTAAAATGCGAGTGCTGCGGCGCTGAGAACCAAGGTATTTACATGCAATTAGGCAAACTTTGGCTCATGGTTTTAATCATTTCAATTTCGCAGATATGGCCTCCAAGACCATTGTCACGACGAGCAAGCCGACCGACTTTCCCTCCCTGCTCCGCCAGAAGCTTTCCACTACCCAGACGGTCGAGAGACACAAGGTCCAGACTGAGGCATTGATCCAAGAGACATGTGAAAAGTGTGGTCGCAAGGAGGTCAGGTTTACCAGTGTGCAACTGCGCAGTGCCGATGAAGGTGCAACCAACTTTTACACCTGCGAGTGTGGTCACAAGTATGTCCCGTCAGCTCTGTATGAGATGCATGACTTGCTAACCAAATTTCCTACAGATGGAGTCACAACAACTGAGCAACTATGCGCGACAAGAACAGCAGTTTTACTCTTTCTCATATGCGACGAAATAACAAGATACCCATGACCCAAAATCACCGCCGCGTTCTATGTTTTTTCGCACCTGTTATCAATACAAACGCTCCAACGCCTGAAATTCATCACCCAAATATCCGCCCAATTTTATGCCGCCGCGGTGGCTCCATTTGACTCTGGAATCAGAGCATACTCCACCTGGCCACTCTGTTCGTAGTCGACCATGTCCAGGGCGACAATGACAGACTCGCGCACGACCTTCTCCTTGTCGTGGAGGAAGCGCTTGAGGATCTCTTCGACGCCCTCTTCCTCTCCCAGGCTACCCAGAGCCTCGGCCGCTTCGTGACGAACCATGCTGGCTTCCTCCGTGTTGGCGAGGGCCTCGGTCAGGGAGGGTATCGAAGCAGGATGAGACAGTTGTCCGAAGACGAATGCGATCTCGTGGCGGAAGAGGGCAGACGAGTCGGCAAAGCCCTTGGCGAGAGCAAGGACGGCAGGAGTGGCAGTGGGCAGATCCGGGGGCGAAGCGAGGTCGCGGAGAGCAAACATGGCTCTGTATCGCATGAAGAGGGGAGCCTTCGTGTCCATGAGAGTCTTTTCAAGAGTGTCGACTGTTTGCGCCGTCTCGGGCATGGGAGGGGCTGGATCTATCGAGGCAAAGTCGCTGTATGCCATTAGCTATGAATATACGCAAAGGAATTGGATATTGGCAATGCCAAAGAACCAGTATTTGAAGATAATAGATGGGCCGATGAACGAACCTTTGGCGCAACTTCTCCTGCTTCCTCTCCTCGGAGTTCTCCCACTCGATGCGATCGATTGCGAGCTCGCAAGTCTCCGTGATGACGTCGCTCTCGTCCTTGCTGTCTCTGAACTGCTTCAATAGGGCCAGGCTGTCCACGTCGCCCAGCGCTCCAAGGGCCTCGGCAGCCTCATGGCGGCACATGGGGTCCTCCTGCACATTGGACAAGACGGCGCGCAGGGGCTTGGCAGCCTCCAGGTTGGCGGACTGGCCCAGGCAGTAGGCGAGCTCATGCTTGAGTAGGGCCGAGGGGGAAGCGAAGCCGGCGGCGATGGCATCAATGGCCTCCTGTGACTCGGCCGGGGTTTCGGCGTGCCTGGCGAGATGCTTGAGCGAGAAGAGGGCGCGGAATCGCAGAGGAAGTGGGGTGGCCTCGGAGCACAGGGACTCGCGCAGGCTGGCAATGGTGGTGACCGGGGCGTCAGCGGTCATTTTTGCTGTTGTCGAGGCTGTCAACGGAGAGGATAGTCGCGTTGAAAACTATGCTTCCAGAATTGATGTATACGCTCTTGCTCCGTAAAATTACAAGAGTCGTCTTCTAATACAAGTCAAGTTGTAAGTGCAAGTGTGGTACGATACAGCGACGAGTACAACAGCAGCGAGGCACCGTCGTGGTGCCTGAGTGTCCCGCAGGGTGGCATAAAAACCAGTCCCCCACTGTGGGACCGACAACTTTTTTCATGATGGAGGGGCAATCTTCAGTTGCGCGTAAATTATCTAATCGCCGTGCTCCGAAGCCGCAAACAGGATACAGTGCTGACAGTTTCTTAGACCATGTTAGCGCAATTTCTTTCAATTACAGCTGGTCGATTAGTGTAGTTGGTTATCACATCGGATTCTGATCATGCTTAGATCTACCTTCCGGTAACCGGGGTTCGAATCCCCGATTGACCTGTTCTTTTTTGGCATAATTCCAACATTATGTCATTGCTCTTTTTCTGTTTTCTTTTTCGTATGGTAAAATTTTAGTTGTTTGTCTTGCTGGAACAGATAGGCAGGCTGTTATATGTTTTTTTTTCTTAAATCTAGTTGGATATCTGTGTCCGAGGATAAAGCCGTGTGTACTTTATTCTCGTTGACTTGCTAAGTGTCATCATACGGATACTCTTGTATTTCATTCGGCCAACGGCTATCTAAGTAGTGTAATGGCGAATTAGTAGTGCGGGCTTATATATTATATAAAGCAATTGCGACGAGAATAATTTGATTATACATTTGGAGACAATTAAAAATACCAGGTACTGTTGTTGCACACCATGCAGCGGGCACAAAACAAGACCCATTTCTGAGTATGCAAAGCATACCGGTACAGAGTACAGGATATACCAGTTTCACCAAAGATCAAAAACTCGCAGGAAATATGTATAAAAAGAATCAGTCCCAGGGCTGGTAGTTGTCACTATTTTTCGAATTAACAGCTGTCTCTTTGTTCTTGTATTTCCAAGGGGAGAGTAAGAACAAAGTCAATGCCCAGGTGTTGTTAGTCACCACTTACTGTGCCCCACAAAACCCAGCGATTTCCTAGATGCGTCATGAACTTTCGATCATCGACTTACACACGAATGAAACCCGCCAAAGACAACCACACCACTCATTTTTCTCTCATTCTTCAACCATATCCCAGAACAAAATCAAGACGTCTGATTGAATGCAAGCAACAGTATCCAAATTTTTAAGGTCAACTACCAACATGGCCCTCCACGCCGCGAAGGAGGAATCGAAACTCATTTGTAAGTACCTCAATTCCCCCCTCCTCAACGTGTCAACCTCTGCAAGATTGCACCACTGACATGAGCCGACCACAATAGTCGCCCCTGCCGGACAATCAGCACATGGTCAGGCAGACCAGTTCAAGAAAGGACACTTGACACGCGGAGATCTGGACCCCTCGTCGCCCGTCCGCCAGTTCCACAGCTGGTTTGGCGCGGCGCAGTCCGAGGGGGCGGGCGTCGCCCACCCGGAGACGTGCACGCTGTCGACGGCGGCGCTGCCGTCGGGCCGCGTGAGCGCGCGCATGGTGTACCTCAAGGAGCTCGACGACAAGGGGTTCGTCGTGTACAGCAACTTTGGCACCAGCCGCAAGGCCGCCGACCTCGCCACGAACCCCTGGGCCAGCCTGACGTTCTGGTGGGAGGGCCTCGAGCGCCAGGTCCGCGTCGAGGGCAGGGCGAGCAGGCTGAGCGCCGAGGAGAGCCAGAAGTACTACGACACCAGGGTGCGCGGCAGCCGCATCGGCGCCTGGGCCAGTCGCCAGAGTCAGGTGCTGAAGCCGGCAGAGACGGAAGGAGATGACGGACGAAAGGAGCTGGAAGATTGGGTTACAGAGACAGAGGAGAAGTTTCGTGATCAGGAAAAGATTCCGGTTCCCGAATTCTGGGGTGGTCTAAGGGTTGTGCCTGAATCGATAGAGTTCTGGCAGGGACGAGAGAGCCGCTTGCACGATAGATTCGTCTATGAGAGAAAGGGAGAAGGCAAGGATGAGTGGTCTTTGGAGAGACTGAGCCCTTAGTTGGCGAATAGCATGTTGAGATATCGATGTCCTAGGTATCTATTTACCAACCTTTCTCTGCTCGCCCAATGTTGGAACACGACCAGACCTATGCAATGCGGCGAGCCGCTTGAAGTACTTGGCCTCCATTCCTTAGTGAAGAGATGGAAATAGCTTTCATGAATTTCACATGGCTCTTCCGCCAAGTTTTTCCAGATATATGACCTGCCCAAACATATTCAGCGTGGATCACGGGGCTCTTCTGCTAAGTTGCAGTTGTGAACAATTATACAACACGTCATCCTCACTACAATCAGAATTAGCTGTTTCAACTCGTCCGCATTGTACCTCTTCACTCCGTACATGTACTTTGGGATTGGCTGCATGTCGTTCCCCAACCATGTATCAAAGAATGTGAACGTTCCTGCCTGTGAGGTCGTGCCTGGGCCCGGACTTCATGTCAACAATCGGCGCCGGACAAAAAATTACAGGGAACAATCGGAGGGCAAGAACTCAGTTCAGACAAACGCGGGCAGGTGCAAAATTTGTTCCCAAGTCCGCCTCTTCAATCCCATTCCATCTTTGGACAGCAACACCTCTCAACTCTCGAAGGTTTCCAATCCAGCAACGAGACAACATTCAGTCTTTCTTCACAAACTACAATCCAGTCCACGATCAACAACACAACAATCAAGATGCAGATCAACTCTCGTCTTCTGGCTCTTGCCACCCTCTCCATGCAGGTTAGTGTTGCCGACCATGTACCACATTTCTTTGCTGACTCTCTTTTCAAGACTTGTTCTGCCTTGCCTTCCACCGGCATGGCCGTGGTTCCCCGCACGCTCGATGACGATGTAAGTACTCCATGCCCATTGAGGTTGCCCGCGCCCATCAGCAAGCATGACTAACGCGGCATCACTTTTCAAGCCCCTCGTCACCTGCTCGTACGCCCAGCTGACTGATGTCGCCCTGGTCAACGAGCTGATCACCGCTCTGGTCGACCAGCCCACCGTCCCCCAGACCGCCCAGCCCCAGGAGTGCGTCCATCTCGGCTGCAACGACGGCGCCGTCGTCTGGTTCTGCAACACCGACAGCAAGGCCCTCACCTACGGCAGCCGCGCCCTCGGTGCCCAGATTTCCCTGGTCGTCAACCACTGCGAGACTCCCGACAAGTCGGACCCCACCCGACTGGTTGTCAGCGGAAGCTCCCAGTCCACCGGCGATGACAAGTACATCATCTCTGTCAGTGCCGGAACCTGTGGCAGCAACGGTCTTTAGAATGCTGGGCAGTAGTCACATCGGCCGTCTCTCTCGCTTGACCGCCCAAGAGAGTGAGCAATGTCAATTCTGGTTTTGGTATGGATTGTAGCCTCGTGGCATGAGGACAAACATGAAGAAAGGCGCGCAGAGAGTGAAGATACCAGCGTAGTGCCTGTCTAGGAAGCAATGTACTCCATAGAGCAATGAAACAACCTGCAAAGTTGAGGAGCTCCCCCAAATCAACTCGTTTCCCATGCATATGTCTCAGCCTTTCCCTTGGAACCCGTCGTTCGTGTCATGGAAGTCACGCGGAGATTTTCAGTCCAGACTGACAAGAAAATAGGTAACATCAACTCTTGAGGCTTGAGGCAGCTTGCATGATAGGCGATAATTTCCAGCCGGAAGGAACGACCCAAGACACGTCGACCATCCTCCAAAGTTGCCCTACCACACACCTTCCGTGCCAGATTTTACCTACATCTCTTCCTCAAGCCACAGAACACTTGACATTTGTCAAAGCTGGCGAGGAATCCGAGTAAGCGGAATTAATGATTACTCATATTGACTCTCCCTTCCCCTTCGGACGTCGATCTCAGATCGTTACCTAACCCATCGCCCAGTGACGTCCGCAGACGTCACATCACCAACGACTGTCCGGAGTCCAGGGCAGGGTTTCTCTACTTGCGTCAAGGCGTGTGTATCTGCACGAGAAAACGCATTCGGACCCTTCAGTCCCTCCAGACCCTGCATATCGTCAAGGGCCCCAAATTGCCAATCGGTGTACAGCATAGCGCACGGCTGATTTTCCGATATGCATGCGACCCGAGAGCATTGTGCCTTTTTATTCGAGACTAAAATCCAGTATTCCGGTGTCCCTCATGGCGATTGGACAAACTCCGTGAAGACGGCACGCGAAAGCTAACGGGAGGGATGGGTGGAGGATTGATGGCGGGAGCGGAAAGCAAATGGAAGAGATCTCGAGATCGACAACCATGGGGTCCACGATGCAACTGTGACGGATACATACAACCCCCACCCAAAACAGCACGACTTGTTGATGAAGGCGTCGGGGCCTTCCGCTTCGAAATGCAGCTGAAATCCCCAAGAATGCACGCTAGAAATTTATACCCTGCCGCCTTGGTGAGAAACAGGTGGGATCGCCGATGGGGGATCGTGGCTGGCCCTTGGCGGCCTATTGGAGCATTGTCCTCTGGGCTATGCATGGCTCAAGGTACAAGGTTCGCCAGCCATCCTTGAACCGGGTTTCCCGCCGCCGCAGTTATGATCTGTAAGATGTCTGGAGTCTGGACATGCTCCGGGGCCTCTCGTTGGGCTGTCCCTTCGTACATGATGCAAATGGCTAAGCGGTGAACGTATGTCAGCAATAGCCGTTTGCCGAGATGCATTCCCACATGTCTATAGTGAGTTGCCCCTCATATCATCTGCGGATATAATTGACTATACAAGCAAAGAAGCTCAAGCCCACTTATTGCAGATCGGCTTCCAAAGTTCAACACATCTCTGCATACAGGCGATCTGGTGTGCGGAGCAAAAGTTTTTCAGTTATCCAGGATCAATCAAAAGCTTGAATCTGCTGAACGACCCTCCACGGATTTCCCCCCCTCCGAAGCCAGGTCAGGCCAGGCCAGCGGCCAGGATTGGACGAGTGCATATCAGACTATCACTTTCTCATTTACAGCTGCTCGGAGCTCGTGCGTAAACACTAGTGCCGGCCACAGAATGCCGTACCCTCGTCCTTCAACGATATGATTTGCTACCTCGCGGCAGGCTGGCTTGGGCTCCAAAGCGAGCCTGTCACGGATCGCGAGGCGAGCCAGGATCATTTCCTGGTCTCCCAGGGTCTTGTCCGCTAATCGATCGTCTACCCGGCTGCCCGTTAGCTGCCGCTGCAAGAGAACGCAAATTCAACGACGTGCGTGCCAAGAACTCGACTCGCACTCCTCTTCAGTCCGTCGAGGCATTCGTCTGCACGCAGCAGATACCTCACCTGCAGCCACATTTTCAATGTCTTTCTTTGAGTGGCCACTCCACTGTACCAACTGAGCTCGCTTGGCTCGCTTTTCCGTCTGACAACGCGGGCGTGCCTCTTCGACACTGCGGGAAGACAATCATACCGACGTCATTG